ACTCATTTAAATGGGGGGACCACATTCATATGGGTTGAATGTGGTCCCCCATTTGAATGAGTGGATGTGAATGAGACATCTCACTACCAAGCACAAAATTTGTGCTTGGTACCAACCATACTCATTTTTCTCATACATGAGTATGCACAAAGCATAAATTTTTATGCTTGGTAGTGAGGTGACATATTCCCCTCCACTCATTGAAATCGGGACTTACATTCATATGAGTTGGGGAGTGGTTAGGAATTAAAATGAGTGGATGGTAATAGGACACCTCACTACCAAGCACAAAATTGATGTTTTGTACCAAGCATACTCATTTTTCTCATATATATATATATAGTGAGGTGACATATTCTCATCCACTCATTGAAATCGGGACCCACATTCACATGAGTTAGGGAGTGGTTGAGAATTAAAATGAGTGGATGGTTATAGGAGACCTCACTACCAAGCACAAAATTTATGCTTTGTACCAAACATACCCATTTTTCTTCACTATCAAGCACAAAGTTTATGCTTTGTACCAAGCATACACATTTTTCTCATATATATACTAGGTTTTATGCACGTACAATGCACGTGGTTAAATACCATGATTAAATATGTTTAATTTATTTTCTTACTAAATTTTATTTCTCAGTTCTACTTCGATTGTTTTTGCTCACTTATATCTTTAAACTTTAGCTCTGTAATTATTTATTTTCTTTGATGTTTGTTTGAATGGGCTACACTAAATTTAAATTTTCATGATTGATAATTGAATTGCTAGAAAAAATATGTAATCTAAAACTAATTTGAATTTTTACATTATTTGGACCAACATGAAACAAAGCTTGGTTTGAGAAAGTATAATGTTGTAAAAGTAAAAATACTTAAAAGTATCGTTATAAAAGAAATATGAATAATTAAAGCTAATAAGCTAAGATGATTAATTAACGTGGGCGAAACTAAAGAGAATATGAAGTTTGTTGTTAATCATTCATAAACTTTAGAATAAATCATAAACTAAAGATTAATGATAACTCTAGTACACTTTTATATGAGAAAATTATGCACATAACCATATAAAAATACTTAAAAGAGTTGATGAGATTCCCTTCTAAATATTCCTGGTTTTACTCAAAAAATTAAGCTATTCTATAAAATTCGAAAAACAAATCTTCTATTCTTTCTGTTTCATTTTTTTATTAAGTTAAGATCAATCCTTCTTTACATTTATCTTCTACCTATGCAATTCTAGAGTTGTGTCTTCATTGTCTACATTGATTGTGACATCAGGTTGGAGCTGGATTTC